TGAATTTTCATCGATGTTAAGCCTAACAAAAATTTTTTAAAATAATAATCGTCGCTATTGTATCGTTAAAAATTAGAAAATTAAGCTTCGTTTAAATACTGGCTCCCTTTCATGGTCGAATGAGTGTTGCCAGCTAAAACACGTAAAAATAATATTAAAGTAGCCAAGACATAGCCAAATATTGTAGCGCCACATCACTAGCGGACATTTGAAATTTGCCGACTAGGACGGTTGGTTAACCGAGGGGTCGGTTAATCGGGGGGCGGATAATCGAGGTTCTACTGTAGTTCTGTAATTAATGTAGGATAATTAAAAAAAAAAAAAAAAAATAGAATCAGTGGCATTTCTGAGTAGGCACCAGAAAAAAATCAGAAGCACTCTCTCTTTTGAAATATTCTTTCCCGAGATAGAGAATGTTTTGTAATGCGATCATACAGCACAAGCAGCATCCAGTCGTCCATATTGGATATAATGAAATCGAGGCGAAAGACGATAGGCCGGTTGAAAGACAACTATCCACTCATCTCTGATAAACGAGAGAAGCGAAGAGAGAAAAAGTTGTCCAGAATTGCATTTAGAGAGATGCGGTGATCTCTCGAGACGTAACAAATGATTAGCCAATCAGCGACCAGCTTGTGAGAGACGATGATCAGAATATGGCCCCAGTATTAATTACCATGGCCCATACCCAACTTGTGTTATTTTAAAATTTCAAGTAATTTCAAAAAATTATAATGTTTTAATGTAATTATTTAAATAATAAATGTATGTAATTTTTCCTATTAACTTTACTTAAAATAATTTAACTTAAATAATGTAAAGAAGTGTTTTAGAAGTTAGATAAAATGGCCAAGATGAGAAAATAATTTCAATATGAAAATTTTCTTTTTACAATATATTTTGATGTTCATTACTTGAAGTTCATCTTTAACTGAAATTTTTGACCCTTATAAAAATTCATTCTGAGGTCATCGTCATAAATAAATTTTGTATTTTTGGATGTCAAAAGTCCATTAATTACTGTCTGTGCTAAAAATAAAAATAATCATTCATGGCACTGAATTCAATTTTATTTCTATTAATCAACATATTGCATCAAGTTTATAATTGTATATGCTATCCTATGATGATGAAAACACGTGCTTAAATTAAAACATTCTTTTAATCTAAAATATTTATGTTAACTTATTTTGTGTGCAATAATTTTTGGGGAAATCTTGGATCCTGAAAATATTCTGCATGCTTTTTCGTAAGTTGCATTGTATCACATTACTTCTTGCAGCCTGCAGATGACTACAATTGGTCTACCTTATTGTGAGCAAAAAAAATTAACAAGGCAGTCAAGGAGGCAAATTCCCTGACTTTTCCTGATATTTTGACAATTTTTTCAAATTTCCTGACTTTCAAATTTCACTGTATATTTCTGATCAACATCTCATATAAAATCAGAGAGCAATACATATATAAATATCTTGAAACCCAACATTATTAATCAATGCCAAACGATAGCTGTAATGCATCGGGCTATTTTTCGGCTACTGTTAATAATTGAATTTAAATTGGCATTGATCAGAGAGTAAAAACTTAAGTATCAATATTAATCAGAAAAAAAATTAAAAATAAGATTTATGAAGATAACACGCAGTAGTATGTTTAACCTATAATAAATTACTACTAAAATTAAACTCCAGATTCGAACAGTTAATTATCAAAAGGCACATATGGTTTGGATAGTATTATTGTCAGTAGTAGTAATAACTTAAATTTACATAATACTTTGTATTTGCATATAAGTTTCTCTTTCAGTATAGTTTAAAAATGATAAAACTAAATTATATACACAAATATTTTCTGAACATTCATATTTTCTTACTTTTTAATATATATTTTAAATTTACCTCTGATATCCTCATGTATATTCCTCTACTATTTTGGCCAATATCGAAGTAAAAGTTCTTATTTTCAACTCTCATGTGTTTTCCTTCAGGAAGTTCTCCTTTGAAACCTGAAATAATGTAATTATATTACTATTTATAATCTTTTAAGGATTAATTGATAAAATTACAAAACTTAATTATCAATAATTATAATAATAGTATAATCATTAATAAATAATTTTGAACATTACATTGAATCATCATTTCTCACAATTTATATTATTCCTAACATATGTATAATTGAGAAATATCTTGTTTATCTTCTGAATAATGAAACTTATTCAAATTTATTAATAAAAATCAATTTTATTAAAGCATATATTGTACCAAATTAAAACGACCAATATTTTTCAATCATAAAATGAGATGTAAAGTAATATTAAAGATTAAATTTTCCAAAATTAAAATCAATATTTTTAAATACATATTTTAAATGAAATGTGTCATATTAAAATTTAAAACTGCATACATTTTAGCTTATTATATACAAAATTATTATTATTATTAGAATGTAAGTTGCTTAATTTTCAAATATCTCTAAATTCATCAATTAAATTAAACTAAAATTGCTTAAATTTATTTTCAAATCAAAATCTGATATACTTAAAAAGACAGGATATTAATAATTAATAAATTGATTTAAAAGTGATATATTTATTTTAGATATTTATAAATTTTATAATAAAGCCTAGACATACAATCAATAAGAAACTAGTAAAAGTTTTAAACTTTAGAAAGCTTAACATTTTTGAAACGTTTACAATTCCATTATCAGATCTGCTTAGCACAAAAAATGATATTTTAAACTCAACATTCTATTAGGGGCAGTCAAATGAAAACGAAACAGATGGGAAAAAAGTAAGTAAACTGCTTATTATTTCAAAAGTAATTGCCATAACTGTTAATACATTTATTCCACTGTGAGACAAGACGGTCAATGCCTTCATAGAAAAATGTTTGCGGTTGCCTACAGAACCACGATTGTACCCAGGCGTGCACCTTTTCGTCCAAAGCAAATTGACGGCCATGAAAGTCTCTCTTCGAGTCTCCAAAAATATGGAAATCGCATGGGGAAAAATCGGGACTGTATGGAGGATGTGAATGGACTACGCTGCAGAAGTTCCCAGCAAAACTTCTGCAGCATAGTCAAAACAACCTTGGTAACATGTGGGTGGGCATTATCCTGCAACAGAATGATGCTGTCTGTCAACATTCCTGGGTGTTTGGATTTGATGGCATGCTTCAATTTTTGCAAAGTTTCTATGTACCACTGCGCGTTAATTGTGGCGCCATATTCCAGAAAGTCAACAAGCAGCAAACCTCCATAGTGACGTTGGATACACGCACGACTCGCCGACCTCACTTCGATCACATCTAACAGACAAATGGCACAGCGGTGAATGTTCACGCTGTTTCTTCCTGATTCCCAATAGAGGGCACTTCTATATACACACCTACCTGCATTACCAACTTCCGTGCTACACTTGTTATATAGTTTGTCTCGTTTTCATTTGACTGCCCCTAATAAGTCAAATATTTATTATTTTGACTTAGAATTCCTAATTACATAATATATTAATACATTATGTTTAAAAAAAATATTCAATTTAGAACGTGTTGAGTTTAACATGTGATTTTTTTTTTCCACCAAGCAGATCTGATGATGGAATTGTGTGTTCAAAAAACTTCGATCATTCTAAAATTGAAACTTTTTCTGTCTTCTTAAATGTTTAGTATGTACATTTGAGCTTTATGATGAAATTAAGGAGCAGTCTCACATGCTAAATTAAACAAAATTCATTTACAATTTTTATAATGTTAGACAATCACTGAATCATTTCAGTATTCACCCACTTCAAATATTTAAACTATTTTTTATTTATAAGGAAATTTCTGATCTTAGTTCTGTTCGCATGAGAAAAAAATTAGAATAGTCTACTAATTAATGCATATCTGTAAATGTAATTATTAAACTGTTTTCTGAATCAGAATTTCATAAACTTTTTAATTGCATAGATTTATTTTTTGATATTTTATTTCATTCATATGAAAGCAATTTAAAAAGTTTAAATTCTACTTTTCTCAATATTTATATTAAAAATTAATTTTAAAAAAATGAAACAAAATGTCAAATGAACAATTATTTTACATTTGGATGTAAAACAAAAGTAATCATCAAATAAATCATTTAAAATGTATTAAAATTTCTAAATAATTTTAATTTAAAATATATAGATTAATTTGGTTATTATATTTTTTTTTATGATAAGAGGTAATTATTGAAACCTTATAAAAATATTAATCTAAAACAAAGATTAAAACAATAATAGATTGCGAATATACAAAAATTATGTAATTTCTTTTAGAGAAAATATACAGAATGTTAGGAAATAAACAGTATATATTACAATATACTGTTTATTTAATATACAATATATATTACAATTATATATATATTGCCTATGTAATAAAAAAAATCCATAACAAGTTTTGAATTAAAGCCAATAAATACGACATACCGAACCTATAACCGATGCATATCCACGCGACAGAATAAGCAAACAAACTGAACGATTCAAACTTAACAGAGTTCGGATTTATTCAAATTTTGTTGTTCGATCCAGCTGTTCACCTGAAGAAGAGCCCAGAAGGGGTTAAGAAAACGTTTGTCGTTGAAAGAACAATTGGATATGCAATGGTTATAGGTTCGGTACGTCATATTTACTTTATACATCCCGGTGTGCAGTTGCTGTTATATGAATTAAGGCCATTTTGACACAGAAAAACAACCAAAAGATTATTTTACATTACATTCTGCTAAAAATTTGATTTTTTAAATGTGGTTTACCATGACAGTTTTTAAGAGAGAATGAATAAATATTGAGTTATCTACACCAGTTATTTACTTTCATCATATTTTCAATACTATGTTGAAAATGATCATCGTCCATCTGGAAACAAGTATATATTCATCAGATAATAGTATCATATAAACAATATAACATTTTCTATTATTGTAAAAACAACATAGCATTTGTCCACTAATGATCTCAGCTAATTGATGATATTTTGTAGATATACTATGTCAAATAGAAGCAAACAAATTGTAATAGTTTCAGATCCAACAATCTAGCAAAGCTGTCCCATTCAAATTTATTTTTTAGATTATTGAGCTTATTACATTCCATCAAATATTTGATTAAAGAAGTGAGAACTATTACGTTAGAATTATAATCATATTAGAAATGTAAATCTACAATTTCACAGAGCAAATGACATACCATAATAGTAGGTAGTTGCTTGTACTGATTCTATCGTAAAACAAATATGACTCAAGATCAATGTCGTTAAGTGGTATCAACAATATATCTATGCTCGCTTAATAATTGTTATATAAGTAGTGCAAACATTTATGTCACTTCAATAATACATGTTATATGGGTTTTTTTAAATTCAAATTTTAAAAACACTATCAAACTATACTGTTTCCAAAACTAATTACATAATAGATATATTTTTAATGATATCAAATGCACTAACAAAATAAAACAAAAGTATTGATTAAATTACATACAATTATTATATTTTACAAACAATATTTTTTGTTTATTCACTAATTACAACATAACAATGCAAAGTACTATATTTTATGGCAAATAAGACAATTTTTTTGCAGAAAAAGAAAAAGCTCAAAAATTGCCTTGCTTCTTATATATAAAGTTGCAAAGTCTCTATATTCTAATGAATTCCCTAACCACCTTCAGTAGGCTACAGGTAACAAGGAGTGCAGAATATTTTCAGGACTCAGAATTTTCCCCAAACATAAAATTTCCCTGAAAATTACTGCATACTAGCTCACAAAATATGACAAAAATTTATGAACAAATGAATAATTATCACTATGTAGCTTAGAAAATTCAAACTGAATCATACACATAATTTAATAGGCCTACCATATAATTTGCTGCCCAACTCTAAATATAAATTAACAAAATTTTTCTTTAAATTAAAAGAATGCTTTAATTTAACCACATGTCATCATCACAGGACAGTGCATACAATTATAAAGTTGATGTAATATAATGATTAACAGAAATAAAACTGAAGTTGTCTCTGATGTCATAAAGAACCTATTTTTAGAACACGGTGATAATTAAGTACAGTGCTGTATGGGAATCGTATGGCAGTTAATGTGTTAATGTGCTTTTTGATATCCAGAAATGCATAATGAAAAATTTATTCATGCCGATGAACAGCCATGCAATCATTTTCTGAATTATTATTTAAGAGATGCACCAATTTTTTACAAAAAGATATGATTTTTAGCATTTTTGACTGACTTTTTCATCAATATTATTATTACTACTATTAATTAATTTTTTTGAAAATGCAAACATATTTTTATGAAATTTTAAAATATATTTCATCATTAATAATTTTTATTTTATAATAAATCTGAAAAAATATGAAAAATAAAGTTTATTAAATGATGACAAAACTTCTATTTACGTATTTAATCAAGATAATTCTGAAAAAGTTTTTAAGTACGGTTTATTAATTGGTGAACTTTGTATATGAAGGAATGAATGAATATTTCATTTTAGTTCAAACTGACATGAAAGTTCAGTCAAAAAGAGTTTTTAAATAAGGAACCATGGTTTGGTAAAAAGACAATTCCTCCTTACTTCAAGTGCATAACAACGTAAATGAACAGCATCATAGCAGGTGACTAAACTCATCAGAAACAAACTAAATAATGTTCCAAATTTCAATTTTAAAACAAGAGATTCTTAAATTTTGTTAAATTTCCCCAATTAATGTCTATAAGCTTATCCAAGAATCTACTCCATTTTATTGTAATTTTCTTCTGGCTATTGCCATAATATTAATTAAAACTACTAAGAAATTTAAAAAATTGCTGGGTTTTAGGTTGTGCTAATGCTTTCACCTGTGTTGAATGGACATCATCAGGAAAACTAATCCCCCACCTGCAGAAACAATGGGAGATTGTGGTACACATGTGAAGAGGGGAGATGATGTAAGGAGAGAGAAAGGGGAGGGGGAGGAT